CAAAATGCCCTCGGACGAGTCCACTCTGCCTCCAATGAGCTGTCTTCCCAGATTTCCTTCTCTGGCCGCGGCTCCTCCCCTCGGGCGCCACCCAGACCTGTGCTGTCCCCGCGCGCAGTTCACCGTCTGCCTTCACCCTCTTGCCTTCTCCCCTTCTCGGCACTTCTTTCATTTTCTGCACCCNGGGGGCCGCGCGGGGCCGTGGTGGGCGCGCCGCCCCCCGGAAGGCGGGCTCCGACGGTGGCCGCAGGCGGTCGCGCGGTGACCTTCCCCCGCCCTAGGGTTCGCAAGGGCGCCCTTGGGGTGGCGCCGGTGGCATCGGGGAGTCACTGTGCTGGTTTGCTCAGAGTGTCTTTCTCTCCCCAAGAGTCAAAGGAAAGAGGCGACAGAGCGCCCCTTTCTTTCTAAACGTAAGAGTCTGCTCAACCCTAAAAGCTTGGTTGCATGCCTGCTTCAGAGAAACAACGACTTGGATACAGGGTTTGTTTGTTTGTTTGTTTTTCAGTGAAGAAGTAAGTGGACTCAATGAAAGCATAGATCTGGCATGAGTGAAATCTCTAGATAAACCTGTGTGCAGTGATTTCAAATTTCTGAAGAGTGGTACAAAATCCTTACAGAATTTACCAAATTGATGTCGCCCCTTCCAATTTATTTTATCCTGAGATAACCTTTGTGCGGATAGGTTAATAACGTAAAGTTGAATAACCGGAAGTCTGAAAACAATTGGCTGTTTGAAAAGAATTAAATTCAAATGATATTCTTACTATTAAAGTTGTAGTGTCCATATCAGAATATTTATATGATTAATTAGGCTGGGTTTTTTTTTTTTTTTGGTGCTCAGCCGTGTCAGACTCTTCGTGACCCCATGGACTGTACGGACCCCCTAGGTGTGACCCCATGGACCCCCTAGGCTTCTCTAGCCAGGGAATTTTCTAGACAAGGATACTGGAGTGGGTTACCATTTCCTTCTCCAGGGGATCTTCCGGACCCAGGGATCGAACCTGGCTCTCTTGCATTTCCTGCATTGGCAGGCAGATTCTTTACCCCTGCACCATCCTTTGGGGTAAGGTCTCAGAGTCGTTAAAAATACAAAAAGTCCTCTTTTTAAAAAAAAAAAAACCATTGTTTAGAGGACAGTGGCCCTAAACCCCAGAAAAGTATGAGAAGGTATGAGAGCTAGGCCACACCTATGGGAGTCCTGGAAGACAACTGTGACCCATTAGAAATTGTTTTTGGAAAAAGTAGCAGACGTGGAAGTGTTGCTTGTCATTTTTGTCTTTTAAGAAAAGTGTTGCACAAAAGTACTGAGTTAGCCCAGCTTTCCTCTTTCCTGGATCTTGAATGGGGGGAGCCGTCTGCACTCTGTACCGGACCCAGTGGCAGCGCTGATTGTCAGGGGGTACGGTAGGGGAAATCCTGACCCGTCGATTTCCTCCTTTCTGCTTCCTCCACCCTGGCTCCACTCGCCTCAGTAAGTCCCCGCTAGATGGTGTGGCCCAGACCTCAGGTTACAGAGTCACAGTTCAGGCTCCTTTCATGGTGAGGAAAGCCAGCGCGGGTAGGTGAAGTGACACCCAGCCCGGCCCAGGCAGGGCCGGCCTCCCGGGCACGCCGGCGCTGTGTTTGAGGACGGAGCTAGTTCATACCTGCGCGGCTGCAGCCTCAGCGTGGCATGCAGTGCTTGTATTTCAGCAGCCTCACCCCTCAAGATTCTTGTCAGCGGGGTCCCCAAATTTTCTTTGAGGACGGGGGAAGCCAGTGTCTTTCCCTGAAGGTCCACTAATAACCTTTAATGCAAAAAAAAGAAAAGCATGTTTGGGGGAAACCGCACAAGACTGAAGCTGTGAGAGCTTGGACCTGTGGTCCCTGCGGTGCAGGGCCGCCCCTTCCCCCTGGTCTGTCCCCGCTGCTCCCAGGGGCTGTGGATGGAGCTGCGGGTGGATGCTGTGTAGACTGAGTGCTCCGTGTGAACGCCGTGAGCCCCGCGTGTCGGTCACTTCCCGCTGTCCTTCCTGGGATGGAGGCTTTCCCGTACCTGCCCTCCCCTAAGGCCACCTACACTTGCAGAGATGAGGCGTCTGCCCCCCACCCCCGACCCCGAGAGGGTCGACCCTGCCTCACGCACTTTGGGTTCAGCATTTCTGCTGCTGCCAGAACTTGCTTCTGAAACATCACCTGCGGTTCCCCATCCCAGTGATGCTCTGATTCTGAAAGGTGAAAGTTAAAATTGCTCAGTTCGTGTCCAGCTCTTTGCAACCCCATGGACTATACAGTCCATGGCATTCTCCAGGCCAGAATACTGGAGTGAGTAACCTTCCCCTTCTCCAGGGGATCTTCCCAACTCAGGGATCAAACCCAGGTCTCCTGCATTGCAGGCGAAGTCTTTACCAGCTGAGCCAAAGGGGAAGCCCAGGAATACTGGAGTGGGTAGCCTATCCCTTCTTCAGGGCATCTTCCCGACCCAGGGATCGAACCGGGGTCTCGTGCATTACAGGAGGAGTCTTTACCCACTGAGCTACCAGGAAAGCCTGATTCTGGGCTCCCAGCAAACTCCACGCCCCTGACTTGGAGCCAGACCTCCAGGCACACCCCCTCCATCGTCTTGTAGGAAATGGGGATGGTGAGGGACTGAACTCCAAGGTTGTGATGAAGATTCGTTAGTTACTGCCTTCACTGCTCAAGGTCATAGCTGTGGCTGGGGTCAGCATCCGAGACCAGGACTGCGCCAGGTGGAGAGAGAAGAGTGGATTCAGCCCTTTCAGGGTTTTCCTGTTTAGGCGCTGCCCGCCTTGTCCCTGTTGCTGGGAGTCACCCAATTCCAGACTGGGGAATAGAGCGTAAGCCTCCAGCTTCCCTGGGCAGCTCCTCTCCCTGGTGTTTTATTTTTGTGAAAGTCAACCCTTGGTTAAGAAATGTCCCAGCATAGGGACCTTTACCGGAATGTCACATATAGCTTTTATTATGTTGAGGTATGTTCCTTTGGAATGTCGAGGACTCATTCACTTTGGTTTCTTAGCACTTGATCTAAGCACTGGAGTCCAGTGAGCTGAGGACTTACCTTCTTCCTGCGGTTCTGACACCTACAGACAAGAGCTCAGCCTCTGGAAACCCCCCTCGAGTGTAGATTTAGTTGAGCCCCTCTCCTGGAGACCCCAGAGTCAAGAAAGCATCACAGGACACCAGTGGTCTGACCGTTAGAGCCTTTGAGGGTCGCCTCAAAGCAAAATACAAAGCTAGCCAGGAAGCCTGGGGCGGGCGAGGTTGACTGAGTTAGAGTCGGACGGTGCCTTTAATTCTTTTAAAAATTTCTCTTAACACTGGGTCCATTTGAGCCCTGGGATTTGAATGCTACAGATGGTAGGATGCAGATAGCGGGGGTCGTGGTAGCCTCAGTAAAGGTCCCTGCTACACCAGGACTCGAGAGTGAATGGAACCATATGTTGTTGGTACGCAAACCACCCTGGGTACCCTGGCTGTTGGGCTGTTGCTCCTGCTTCTCTGAAAAAGCTGGTGTAAATGGAGAAACAGCTGCGCAAGAGGCGGAGCAGGAGTGAAGCTGCAGGGGCCTCCCAGGCGTGAGAGGAGCACGACAGCCTGCCGGGGAGTGACCGGGAGACGGGCCGGGACTGACCGGCCATGGGCCTGGGAGGGCCGCTGTGTGGCTGAGGGACCGGCCTGAAGCTTAAGAGCCTCTGAACTGAGTTTGGAGAAAGAAGATATTTGAGAGGGCGTGGCCAGATGGTGGGATTGTTACTCCATTTCTTAGAACGTAGGTGATCCTGAAGAGTTGAAATAAATAAGCTTTTTGTGCATATCTTATTATATTGGAACAAAATAAACATCTGTCCCCCCCCGCCCCGAGTGGAAATGTGTACATAATTTCCTTCTAATGACAAAAATATGAAGGTTTGCTACATTTTTGAAAAAGACCAAATGGAAAGGTGTGAAGAAGAACACACCTGTTGTGGAGTAGGTACCCCCGGGAACCCGCCTATGTGCTCAGGCCCAAGGCTCCTCCCTCTGAGAAACTGTCTTACGGAGCGAGGACCCTTTGTGATGGGCCTGGTCACCTCTTCAGTTCAGTCCAGTTCAGTCGCTCAGTCGTGTCCGACTCTTTGCAACCCCATGAACCGCAGCACCCCAGGCTTCCCTGTCTATCACCAAGTCCTGGAGCTTGCTCAAACTCATGTCCATAGAGTGGATGATGCCATCCAACCATCTCATCCTCTGTCATCCCCTTCTCCTCCTGCCCTCAATCTTTCCCAGCATCAGGGTCTTCTCCAAGGAGTCAGTTATTCACATCAGGTGGCCAAAGTATTGTAGTTTCAGCTTCAGCATCAATCCGTCCAATGAATATTCAGGACTGATTTCCTTTAGGATGGACTGGTTGGATCTCCTTGCAGTTCAAGGCACTCTCAAGAGTCTTCTCTAACACCACAGTTCAAAAGCATCAATTCTTTGGCACTCACCTTTCTCTAGAGTCCAACTCTCACATCCATACATGACTACTGGAAAAACCATAGCTTTGACTCGATGGACCTTTGTTGGCAAAGTAACAACTCTGCTTTTTAATATGCTGTCTAGCTTGGTCATAGCTTTTCTTCCAAGGCGCAAGTGTCTTTTAATTTCATGGCTCCCCCAGTTTATCTGGTCTGTAATTTTAGATCCTGTGAAATTAGGTTACCTGGAAGAGGTACACCTAAAACCTGGTGACCTTCCAAAACGTGCATGAGTGTTCTCTCCTGCCTCTGCACTGTTTTCATGGTTTAGTGAGTTGTCTGAACACTGCATTGTCCTTTTGTGAAGATGGCAGCACATAATTGTGTGTATTAACTGCCACTTTTAAGGGAAAATGGGAAAATTGCATTATGGTCTAATTTTTATTTCTTCTTTATTTCTTCCTTAAGCCTGGCTTGGGTTTAGGTGGGTAATTCTCTGAAATCTCAAAAACAGTGTTTTCTTTTGAAATATGTTGTTTGGAGAGAGGCTTTTAATTTCATCCCTGCCTTTGTCTCTTTAACTGTTTTTAGCTGTGGACGTGGTGGTTTGTTGAGCTCGGAGGTAATCGCATGTTTGCTTAGTTGGGAGAAGGCCAAACCCCTGTTAATTTTTCATTTCCCTGAGATTGACCGGTAAAAGTTTAGGGTTTATTTTGTTTTGTGTGGTTTTTTGGTTGTTGTTAAAGTATCTTTGGAAATTACAGGATACAGGTTACACAAAGCTCTTAACAAAGCTTGCCTGAAATAAAAGCAGATCTGACTTTCTGCCAAGCTTACTCCTAAGCCTGTCCTGGCCTTTGCACCTTTTAACACGGTTGCGTCTTGGCTGTTGCTCTTTGCAGGTTCATGAGTGGCGTTTTGGACAGGGAGCCTGGTGTGGGAGCCCAGAGCCAGTTTGCTGAACTGCCATCGTCCCAGCCCCACGAGCGTCCGGGAAGATCTGTGGGTGCCCCCTCGTGCCAGCCCAGGGGAGGCAGCCCTGGAAGCCGTTCTCAAGAACTTTTGCCCCAGGTGTAAAAGAATCCAGCCCCGCAAAGATGCTGAAACAGATCCTGTCGGAGATGTACATAGATCCTGATCTGCTGGCAGAGCTGAACGAGGAACAGAAACAGATCCTGTTCTTCAAGATGAGGGAGGAGCAGATCCGCCGCTGGAAAGAAAGAGAAGCAGCGATGGAAAAACAGGAGTCCTTGCCAGTGAAACCCAGACCAAAGAAAGGTAAGCGGAGCTCGCTTCTCCCGGGAGCCCACGCGGCAGGCTGCCTCCCCGCTCATTTTCACCTTTCACACTGGTCAGCCGCTAGCCGGGTTCGAGGTCCGGTTTGGCAGCTGGACGCTGAGTGTTACTGAGCTTTTCATGGTGCAGTTGATCAACCCGAAGTGTCCATGTTTGTGCAAGTACACGTGTACACACGTGCACAAGTACACAGACACACACACGAGCGGCAGTACTCTGGAGTGGTGAGGCTGAGAGCAGATGTCTTTCTCGAAACCGGACTGACCTTCAGCTGCAGTAAAAAGTCACGTGGAGCTGGACTCGAGGGGCATGCAGGAAGGGTCCACCTCCTCTTGTCCCAGATGCCTGGTATTCTGCTGTGCTGGGCTTAGTCGCTCAGTCGTGTGCAATTTGCAAGCCTGCCAGGTTCCTCTGTCCATGGGGATTCTCCAGGCAAGAAGACTGGAGTGAGTAGCCTATTCCTTCTCCAGGGGAGCTTCCTGACCCAGGAATCCAGCCAGAGTCTCCTGCATTGCAGGTAGATTCTTTACCAACTGAGCTACCCCGGAAGCCCCTGGTATTCAGCTACCAGCATGCAAAGTCTTTACATCAGCCTCTCTCTAGAAATGCTGTTTCCATCCCGTAGACTCTGAGAGATGTTTCTTTGAGTTTTCTGTTTTTGGGGACATTCACTTTCAAGATCAAATACTACTAAAAGGAAAAAAGTCATAATGCTAATTTTTTTAGTGTGAGTTCACCTTTCAGATGTACTACCTCTTCCTGGCCCAAGGAATCCCTGGTAGCTTGGCCGCATCTTTGGGACCATGTATGAGAAGGAATTCCTTGTACATCAGGGTTAAAGGGTTTACACACAGACACATGGGAAAGCACGTGTTAGCGTGCACACACCGCTCCACACACTTTCTGTTATGGACGAATACCTATGTTGTTGGGGAAAAAAAAACAGTTTTCAAGGTCACTTACGACGGCATTCAAAGATCAGTTTCTCTTCGTTTTTTATTAAGTCCTGAAAAATAAATTTGATAAAACCATTCAGGGTTTCAAAGATTGAGAAAATTAATCTCCCTTATATGCTATAGACTCAAAAAGGAAGTCAGTTTAGTGACCTTTTCCTTGCACTGTCTTTTATTAAAACCTTTTTCCAATTAAGGTTTTATAGTGATATGGAAATAAATGTGAGTACTTCATTTATTATTATTGTTATCACCAATAGCAGCTATTTATTAAACTCCTGTTTTTTCAGACACCATGCAAGGCACTTTTACATACATTACATGTCATCTTCATGGTATTTCTCCAAAACAGGTATCAGTGGTCCTGTTTTACACATGGAGAAGTGCAGTAATAAATGCAAGGTCACACCCCAGTTGGTACCCAGGTCTACTGGGCTTCACAGCACTCTTCACTCGCCAAGGACATCCTTGGTTTTCCTTCTAGCGGTAACATGTCCAAACTGGAGCATGACCCTGTATCTTTCCAATCTGGCTTCTCCATTTCCTTGCATCCTTTGGTCTGAGTTAACCAAGTATAACGGGGCCTCCTGGCACTGTGTTAGTTGTGAACGTGACACGCAGACGTGGTGGGTGACTGTGAAGACTGGGGCCGCAGAAGGGCTCTGTCCCCTGGAATCAGTGGCCTGGAGCTCTTTGAGACACTTTGGGTTTCTCACGTTTGCTGAGTTGGTCTCCTCCTGGTGATGTAAGATGAAGTTCTTTGCTCAAATTCTTCCTTTGCGGGCTGTAGGTTTTCCCCTTTCGCCTCTTCAAATGTATCATGCGACTCCCTTCTGTCCTTCAGAAAAATCAGCTGCTGGCCTTACGGGACTTCCCTCGTATGTTATTTGTCGCTTCTCTCATGCTGCGTGTTCAGTCGCTTCAGTCGTGTCCGACCCTTTGCGACCCCGTGGACTGTAGCTCACCAGGCTCCTCTGTCCCTGGGATTCTCCAGGCCAGAATACTGGAGTGGGTTGCCGTGCCCTCCTCCAGGGGATCTTCCCCACCCAGGGATCAAACCCACGTCTCTCTTGCGTCTCCTGCATTGGCAAGTGGGTTCTTTAATATATCACCACCTGGGAAGCTTTTCCCTTGCTGCTTTTAATATTCTCTCTTTTTTGTGTTTTTAATTACAGTGAGTCTTGGTATGTTCCTCTTTGGGTTCATCCTGTATGGTAGTGGTCCCCAACCTTTTTGGAAGCAGGGACTGGTTGTAGGGAAGACAGCTTCTCTGCGGATAAGGATGGTGGGGGCTGGTAATGTGAGTGATGGGGAGCAGTTGCAGCCTGGGACTTGGGGACCCCTGCTGTTTGGAACTATGTGCATTTCCTGGGCTGGGGTGACTATTTCCTTTCTCAGGCTAGGGAAGTTTTCAGTTATAATGGCCTGAAATTCTCAGGCTCATGCTCTGTCTCTTTTTCTCCTGGGCCCCTATAATACTAATATTAGCGCCCTGATGTTGTCCTCGAGGTCTCTTGACCTGCCCTCATTCCTTTTCATCCTTTTCTCTGCTCAGCAGCAGTGGTTTCCACGCCTCCATCTTCCAGCTCACTGATCCACTCTTCTGTATCATTTAGTCTACTATTGATTCCTTCTGGTGTATTTTTCATTTTAGTGATTGTATTCTCCTTCTCTGTGTGTTCTTTATATTTTCTAACTCTTTGTTTAAAAATTCCAGCTTCTTGCTCTGTGCATACCTGCTGTCCTCCTGAGTTCTTTCATCATCTTTACGAGCACTGCCCTGAGCTCTTTCTTGGGTGGAAAGCTTATCTCCACTTCATTTAACTCTTCTGGGGTTTCATCATCTTCTTTCATCTGGAACGTGTTCCTCTGCTGCCTCATTTTTTTAAAAATCTTTTTTCTAAGTTGTTATTTGTATCTTTATGCATGTGGTAGGTTAGTTACATTTCTTGACCTTAAAGAAGGGGCCCCTCTGAAGATGTTCTCTGTGTCTTAGCAGCCCTCACCCCTCTAGACGCTTAAGCCGTACGCTCTCCAGATTTTCCCTAAGAGGTCTGCATGGGCCCTTCTGTTGTGGGAGGCTGAGCCCGTGGGCCATCAGCTGGCTTGGTTGACTCCTCCATCGGTTGATTCTCAGGCCCTGCCTTGTCTGAAGGCCGCTGGCTGTTGGTTAGATGGATCTGGTCACAAAGTGACTGGCTGAGGAATCCTAGGAGGTCCAGGGGCTAGTTGTGCTGGCTCACCGGTAGGTGGAATCAGGGTCCCAAGGATGCCGAGGAGGTTGCCCTACCCATGGACAGATGAACTGAGGTCCTGGGGGTAGCGCTGGATTATTGGCAGGCAGAGTCGGGTCATGGAGTCTGACCACAGGGCCCAGGATCCCAGAACTTATTTCAAATCGTTGGGCGGGGGTGGGGTGGAGGGTAGGGGGCTGGTTCCCGACACAGTTGGGTTTGGCGTCCTGGATGTCCTGAAGCTTGTGTTGGCCTCTAGTGGGCAGGCGCTGGGGCCTGGCTGGTCCCTGGCTAGGGCCTGCCCTGCTGTGGGTGGTCTGGATCTGCAGGCTGTGTGATGGTAGCTCTCTTGCCTTTGGTGTCTGCCCCTGGTTGGTGAGGCTGGTCTGGAGACCAGTGCCGGCTTCCTGGAGGGAAGAGCCAGTGTCTGCCCACTGGTGTGTGGGGTTAGGTCTTGGCCCTCTGGTGGGCTCGGCAAAGTCCAGAGGCGTGTCTGGAGTCAGCTGTGGGCTCAGGAAGTCCTTAGGGCCTGCTCATGGCTGGGGCTGCTGTTCCTACCCAGTTAGTCATTTGGCCTGAGGCCTCTCAGCACGGGTAACCTGCAGGCTATTGGGTGGGGCCAGGTCTTGGCACTAATGAGCCAAGATGGCAACTGCCAGCAGCCGTGTCCTCACGATAGAAGGTCCCCAAATATGTTTGCCTCCAGGATTCATGGTCTCAGGGTGACCCGTAGTCATCCCCGCCTCCCTGGGAGATGCTCCAAAGCCGACAGGTAGGTCTTGCCCAGACTCCTGTCAAATGACTGCTTTTCACCCTGGGTCCTGGTGTGTGTGAGATTTCGTGTGCACCCTTTTAAGAGTGAAGTCTCTATTTCCCCCACTCCTGGGGGGCTCCCAAAATTAAACCCTGCTGGCCCGAAGGCAATGGCACCCCACTCCAGTACTCTTGCCTGGAAAATCCCATGGATGGAGGAGCCTGGTAGGGTGCGGTCCATGGGGTCGCTAAGAGTTGGACACGACTGAAGTGACTTAGCAGCAGCAGCAGGCCTTCAAAGCCAAATGTTCTGGGGGCTCATCTTCCCAGATGAGTAGGACCCCCAGGCTGGGGAGCCTGACCTGGGGCTCAGAACCCTCACTCCGGTGGGAGAAGCTCCAGTCTGTGGGTCGCCCACCTTGGGGTATCTGTCTCACTGTGGTGTCTGTCTCATCGTGGTTCCTTTTCTATGTTTTTGGTTGGAGAAGATCTTTTCTTGTAGGTTCTGGTCTTTCTCATGGATGGTTTTTCTGCAGATAGTTGTGATTTTGGTGTGCTCAGGAGAGGAGGTGAGCTCAGGGCCTTTCTGCCCCATCATCTTGCCCAGTCTCCTGTTGATTTTTTAATAGGACGGCTAGAAAATGTATAATTACAGGCGGCGCTCCCATTGGACAGCACCGCTATAGACTTTGTAAACGTGGCCCCAAGCAGTGCTGATTGAGCTGCTGGCGTGTCAGACCCTGAACTCTTAGGTCTATCATCTCATAAAATCATCACAGCCAAGCCTGGAGCTGAGTTACTTTCACATTTCACAGGTGAGGAAAGGGAGACAGAGGGACCTTAACTGACTTGCCCAGGGCAGTAGGACCCTGAGCCTGACTCCCGTAGCTGGCACTGTTAACAAACGTTGCCCCTCGTTCAGCTTGCCGGGCGCTTTGAGCTTACCTGGAGCTTGGTAACAGTTGCCGTTGTCTGCAGGAGCCCTGCACACAACTGAACGTGTGCTTGTGTGGGTGTCTTCCCATGGAGCCTTTTTTCCGAA